ACCAGCCAAGGACCAGCCAGGAACCAGCCAAGGACCAGCCAAGAACCAGCCAAGAACCAACCAGGGACCACCCAAGAACCAACCAGGGACCAGCCAGGAACCAACCAGGGACCAGCCAAGAACCAACCAGGGACCAGCCAAGAACCAACCAGGGACCAGCCAGGAACCAACCAGGGACCAGCCAAGGAAATGTTAGGTATTTTACCCACAAAAACCAGGACGTAGAGAGAAGGTATAAGGATCATGGCTTTGACGAAAGCCTTTCTGACTCGTTTTAGAACTAGAAAAGAATCTCTACTTGAGTGGTCCTCTGGGTCAGCAGTGCTTCTGGCCTGGGAACTCTGCCATTCTGTCCGGTCTCTCTGTGATGGGCGAATCCTGACCTCTGACCCTAAGTAAGGCTGAAAGATCTCTCTGCTGTACCGCGTTTCCTCCATATTGAGGACGGTTCTGGTTCCCTGCAGACCCAAAGTCTTTAAAATCATTCTGTAACCCAGACTGATCAAAGCCAGAGACGGTTTCTAATCTGTTTAGTAATTTCTCCAGATTAAGTCATGATGCGTCCCCTTCGAAGTTGGCCTACTTCATGCTGTTAGGCAGGTTCCAGGTGGTGATTCAGAATATATTTTTTTTGTAAATTGTTCTGGAGTTGCAGTCTCAGTGGTTGTTAGAGGCCTGTTAAGCACTGGTTAAACTGGTTCCAGTCTCAGCGATGTCCTGAGACTGGAAATCGTGCTTCAAAGCCAAAGCTAGAGTTTCTCTAAATGCTACATGTGTGTATTTGCTCAGATCGTGCACCTTTAAAGGTCAAAGCTACAGTACGGCCCACCTGCTCTCCCTCTACTGGTGTCCAGCCAGCTGTCTTGTCCGTCTGGTCGTGGAATTTAGTTTCTCTTATTTCATACTTTAATTTATTCTATTTCCTCACTATAAAAGTTTACACTCTGCCTGTTTCACCTGCAAGGCCAAACAATGCCTGCCTGAGGGAGTTTGTAGACCAGACGTAGCTTCTTCCATAACAAACCAGATTCTTTCTCAGGTTTATTTATAAAATGTTACTGTTTAACCAAAGTGTCTGTAGTTTGTTTTGACTCTGACTATTTTCCATTATTGTAAGTAAGGAGGAACGAACGCTGGCCAGGTCAGAACAGGGCTGATTATGGTGCAATAAGGGCCGTATGATGAACCGTTTTCTCTTTGCAAAGATGAAATAAGTGCTGACAGTGAAATTCATTGATCTCCATTTATTTAACCGGAGCAAATAGTTGAATACTTTTTTCCCATGACATCCGTTTATGCTAACGCTAACCAAAGCAGACGTATCTATTTAGAGGAACCTCTGAGTTTCTTTGCTAGTTCCCATTGGTTTTCCTAGATGGCAGGAGTGAATCGTTGCTATTTGGGAAAAAATGGCCGCTCCCAGACTCAGTGATTGAGACAAAAATGATTATTTGTTCACTGATTAACGATAATTTCATGAATTAGTTTTAGGTGTAAATAATGATCCATTGATTATTCCTCGCTGACCGGACATTTCCTATCGGAGGAACATAAACCAGAGAAGAAGAACTCCATCCTACTCTTCCTTTAACGTCGATGTTGGCATCATAACCAGAAGTTAATAGCTTTTGATTTTAGACCCGTCAAAAGTTATTAAACAATTATAAATGAAACCTTTTAATGAAAAAACTAAAGTTATGACCTTTAAATTTATAGCTTGAAATGAAATTATCTCCCCTATTTTATTTCCTTTTATAAATTCTAAATTTTTAACGTCAGTTGAAACCTTAAATTATGTTTGTTTGTTTTTTTTAACGATTTGGTTCCCAGAAACGGCTCATATTTTACTGATGGGGCCTAATTGCTCCCTTCTCTGTGAAAGAATTTATTTGCTCATGTTTCCATATAAAAATTCTGTCATAAACGAAGATGAAACAGAGCATCGCGTTATTGAACGAATCTGCAGCAGCGTTTTGCTTTTATTATGAACTTTCTGGTTAATGGAGTCCAGCCTGAAGGTTCCAGCTGTTAATTACTGGGAATAACAGGTGTTTTTGCTCCCATATCTAAGACGTTGGGATGTTTGTTTGGTATCAATCTGCAGCTCGCTCCATCAGCGGCGATCGACAGCTCCGGATCCATCACCGATGACACGAGCCTGCCCGCCTCTTTTCTTTCATTAACAGGCTGTTTGTGGAGCTAATCTGCGCTGTGCAGGCCTGCTGCCCCGGGGTGACGCCGTAATTAAACTCCCAGAGGTCAGAGGTCATGACTGCTGCTGCAGCGGCGGTTCAAACGTGGCCATTTTTTCCCACCCTGTAAACTCATGGCTCCTGCTGAACCAAACTTACTTTATCACAGAGGAAAAAACTGGCGCCGCGACGAGAAGTCAATAGAATCCTGCGAGTGGTGCTCTTACATTTAAATTCACAGATTTGATGGTGATGCATACTTCGCGCCTGGCGGCAGCAGGGCTATTCATCACCGCGGCTGAGGGAGAGGAGGGGCGGGGAGGGGGGGCTGTCCGTGGACTTGGCCACCTTGATTAATGTGATTTGATCTTGACAGTGGACCCCTAATTCATCAAGACCTTGATCTGGCTGTCGCTCCCCCCTGCCTGCGCCAAATTCACCTAATTACAGGAACATTGCGCAGCAAATTAAGTGCGCTGTCATTTGTCGCCCAGCGCGGCACTTTATTATCCACCGGTGGCGGCGTGTCAGAGGTCCCCTCCTTGATTGTCTAACATGACATCCAGGCACCGTCCCCTTTATCATTGTTTGCATATACTGTAATGAGAGGGCTGCTTGTTTTGTCAGGCCTGTCATAAAAGCAGCCGAAGGGACGCCTCGTCGTTCTTCTGACGGCGAGCAGAGGGAGGGAAACCTTCTCCTCTTCTTTATGAGGGTGTTTCAGTGGTTTATGGTTAAAAGTTAGTCAAGAGGGACGTTTGCTCATAACCTCATTTAGAGGTTGGTTTTCAGGCTGGATTCAGTCCAAAAACCGGTTTGGTTGGTCTGATTTTGTCCAAATTTAGTCCAATAATAGACGTTGAAAAGACGTTGCAAACCTCGTTTTTCAACTTCTTTTTAATGACCTGAAAATTACTTTAACTATTCAACCAAATGTAGACGTCGGTTGGATCAACTAATTTTGGTTCGGTGGGTTGGATGTAAACTCGTCTTTAAGCAGAACCAGAGACGATGTTGATGAAAACGACCGAAACCAAAGGAAAAACTCTTACAGACTTCAGCTTCCTGGAAGGTTTTTCTCTCGGTTGTTGTTGCCGGTTTGAGCCTCTAGAGGTCACTGCATCCGTCCCCTTTATGAACAGGTCAGCCGCTTGGGTACGATGATGGTCGCCTGTTAGTCATCATCATCATCCGTCTCCACCACCCAGCAGATGATCCAGACTTTTTTCCGTATGGTTCCGTGACGGCGGACGAAGCGCGACCAGAAGAGGTCGGACCTTATCGGTTTAAGCTGCTCAGAGAGCAACACCTACCCGTTCTTTCCCTTCAATGAACTCCCTCCTCATCGGCTTCTCCTTTCTACTCCGGCCTCTCCGACAGAACAGCTCTTCATTCTAGTTTATTTCTTTTATATAAACTCGATTGCTCATCAAATTGTCCATTAAATGCAGAAAGAAAACCAGCAAACCTTCTTCAATGGACGGGATGTTTCCATAGATAAAGGCCTAACGGGAATTGTACCAAAGGTACAAATTGAATTGAAATGAACGGATCCATGAGTAGAAACTGTTTACCGCTCTGCCAATGCATCAGACCTCTTTGTCCTCTCCCTGTTGGACAGTCCAGATCCTTCCCTACAGCAGGCAGCTCCTAACGGGACTGGATGATGCTCAGCAGCAGAGAACCTTTATTCGGACATCTAACCTCCTATTGGCTCAGGTAGATGTTTGATATCAGACTCTGGGTTAGAATTCTAGAAAGGCTCGTTTGATTTATCGAATCTTTGGCGTCTTAAATCCCGACGGCTGTTAAAATAAAAGTCATTTAAAGGTGGAGCTCTGATTCCATCCTTTTAAAGGGTGCGTTTGATTAATCGACCAGGGACGGCAGAGGAGAACATGATTGGTTCACAGAAACATCTTTGCTTTATTTAGCATCATTACCATCAAACCTACATCTTCAGGTCATTAGGAACAAAACAAAAACCTACAAAACTTGGTTTTATTACAAAATAAAAGCCCATTCTGTCAAAACATTGCTTGTTTTTTTAGTTGAAAGAATTTGAATTCATAAATCGAGGAAATAGAGAAGCTAAGAAGGAAGCTGTTTTTAGTTATTAGAGAGGAGTTCACCTTTTCTGTCAGGTGCTTGGCCACGCCCCTTTCTAGAGCTTTAATTCTGACAAACTGCAGGTTTTACAAAGTTTAACTTGAGAAACTCTGTTTGCATCCGCAGCTCTGAAATGTTTTCCTTTATTGTGCATTTGGTTGCATCGGTACGAACAGAAGATTCATGGGACAGCATTCTCGCTGCTGGACTGAGTGGACATGATTTGCAGCTCAGCGTTGTTTGTTTGTATCTGGGTCAGACGGCGTTCGGAGAGATCCGCTTCACGCGGCAGGCCTGGACGCCTACGGTGGGAGTTCCTTCAGCAGCGAGCTGGATGCGTGATTTATCTAAATCACAGGGCCCCCCCTCCCCGACTCCCCCAGCCCGACACCAGAGACGGGAAGAGATGGGAGTCACTGTCACGCTGTAATTCATCTCCGGTGTCAGCCAGACGCAGCACGCTCACAAATATATACAGAAATACTCGCCCTGAGAGAAGCGGACCATCAAGTTCAGGATGCTGAAAAAGAAAAACGCTGATGCTTCCAATAAGAGCAGAAGATCCCGTCCTATTCCTCTTCTGGTGGAGAGGAACCGCCGGGACTCTGCCGCCGGGGTCTGAAAGCTTCTCATTAGCTGAGCTGATGGCCTGTTAGTGGCTGCTGCAGCCATTAGGAAGCCATCATGCCTCACTTACCTCATTAAACCTCCATCATGACGCTTCTAGGCTCCAACTTCCAACAAGGAGGTTCAGTTTGTTGCTGAAGCCATCGGGGTTGTCGGTTCTGGTTCCTGACGAAGTGAAAACAGTTCTGGACTCTGATGAAGACGTCTGTTAACGACCGAAACTCTGACGACATCTGCTGTAAACATGCTGTTTTAATAAGAGATAACAAGACGCCATCTCTAAAGTCGCTTTGACTCCTTTCTGCAAGCTTAAAGACAAAAGATGTGAGATAAAAAGTTTAACTTGAAGGGTTTCACTGATTCCAATCATGAAGCAAAAAGACTAAAAGCCCTCAGCGACAGCCAGCGACTCCTGGTTCCCACCCAGAGACACCTGAAGGCTGTTACACGCTGAGAACATGAATTATTCCTGCAGATCTGGATGCAGATCTTCATCTGCTGCCCGGACAGACAAACGTTGCCTCATCATCTCAGCTGAACACGCTTTCAGGATAACAGAGGCCATCTTGGCTTCAGATGGTTGAGGAAGTGCATTTTTAATCTGAGGTGAGGTAAGAGAGCCGTAATCTGAACTCAGCCGCATCATCCAGCATCTATTCGAACATTTATAACAGAGTCTTCAACACAGAGAGACATTTCTAGAATCCAACCAATGAAAGCAGCCCTCCAGGACGCGTTCCGATCCAGTCAGCTGGTTTATTAGTGGACGTCCTGTAGGTGGCGCTTCTGATCGAAGGTCTGAAGGTTGCAGACGTTCATCTTGACCTCAGAGGAACCGTTGGTCTCTGTAGCTAAAGTCCCGTTTTTGTGTTCCAGCCCTGCAGGACTGACGGGCAGCCCCGTCATCTCAGACATCTCTCTGATTCGCCTGTCGCCCGCTGCCATGACGACCGGCGAGTCTCCGTTCAGCCAGCCCCACCCGTACGTCACGCCCCACATGGAGCACTACCTGCGCTCCGTCCACGGCAGCCCCACCCTGTCCATGATCTCCGCGGCCCGCGGACTCAGCCCAGCAGACCGTAAGTTCCCCAGTAATACCAGCATTAACCAGTTTAACCAGCAGAAACATCTGACCAGGCCAGTAAGGTGGTATTAATCAGCCATCATGGCATCTCTACATACATATCTAAATATGAACATTTCTAAGGAAGCGAGATGTAAGGATTTTACTCAGTAGAGAAGTTTTAAAAACATCAAACCAAACGAGTCATTTCATTTCTTTAACGCTGCCATATTTATACATTTAATTCAAGGCATTAAAGGTTTATAACTTTAGAGACTATAGATTGCAGAGATCTGAACAGTTTCAGAATGATTCAGACCATTTCAGGTAGTTTCACACCGTTTCAGATGGTTTCACACTGTTTCGGACCGCTTTAGACTTGTTCGGACCATTTTGAATCATTTCCGACTCTTTCACACAGTTAATGAACGTTTCAAACCTTTTCAGATTGTTTCAAACCTTTTTTTCGACCAGTTGAGACTCGTTTGGACCGTTTTGGATTGTTTCAAACTGCTTCAGATCATTTCAGACCATTTCACATCAATTTGGAACTTTTCAGACCATTTCAGATTGTTTCACACCGTTTTGGACCAGCTTAGACTTGTTGGACCATTTTAAATCACACCAGACCGTTACACACAGTTACTGAACGTTTCAAACTGTTTCAGATCGTTTTAGACTGTTTCACAACGCTTTAAACCTTATTGGACTGGTTTAAACTGTTTTCGATAGTTTCAGACCAATTCATATCAATTTGGAACATTTCAGACAGTATAACGCCATTTGAGATTGTTTAACACCACTTTGGACTGGTAGAGACTAGTTCTGACCATTTTGGAAAGTTTCAGACCGTTTCAGAATATTTCAGACCGCTTCGGAATGTTTCAGACCGTTTCACATGTTTTCAACTAATTTCACACTATTTCAAACCATATTGGACCAGTTTAGACTTGTCTGGACCATTTGGAATCATTTCAGATTGTTTCACACAGTTACGGAACTTTTCGAACTGTTTTAGATCGTTTTGGAATGTTTCAGACCGTTTCACAGCGTTTCAAACTGTTTTGGACCGGTTTAGATTTGTTTGGACCCTTTCAGATAGTTTCACACTGTTTCAGACTTTTTCAAACCGCATTGGACTGGTTTGATGTGTTTGGACCGTTTTAGATAGTTTCACACTGTTTCAGATCGTTTCACACCGTTTTGGAATGTTTCAAGCTGTTTCAAACTGTTTAAAATTGTTTTGGACCAGTTTAGACTTATTCGGACCATTTTGAATCGTTTCAGACCGTTTCACTCATTTATGGAACGTTTCAAACCATTTCAGATTCTTTCAGAACATTTCAGACCGTTTAAAACCACATTGGACTGGTTTAGATGTGTTTGGACCGTTTTAGATAGTTTCAGACCATTTCGCACAGTTACATACCGTTTAAAACCATTTCTGATCGTTTCAGACGATTTCACATCGTTATGGAAAGTCTCTGAACATTTCACACCATTTCAGATCTTTTCAAACCGTTTCGGACTGGTTTAGAATGGTTCGCACCGATTTGGAAAGTTTCAGACAGCTTTGGAATGTTTCACACCGTTTTAGATCCTTTCAAACCGTTTCGGACCGCTTTAGACTTGTTCGGACCATTTTGAATTGTTTCCGACTCTTTCACACAGTTACTGAACGTTTTAAACCTTTTCAGATTGTTTCAGGCCATTTCACATTGTTTCAAACCTTTTTTCGACCAGTTGAGACTCGTTTTGACTGTTTTGGATTGTTTCAAACCGCTTCAGACCATTTCACATCAATTTGGAACTTTTCAGACCATTTCAGATAGTTTCACACCGTTTTGGACCAGTTTAGACTTGTTCAGAACATTTAGAATCGTTTCAGACTGGTTCACACAGTAACGGAACGTTTAAAACCTTTTCAGATCGTTTCAGGCAATTTTACATCTTTTCAGACCGTTTCAAAGCGTTCCAACCTGTTTTTGACCTGTTTAGACTTGATTGGACCATTTTCGATCGTTACAAACTGCTTCAGATCATTTTAAATCATTTCGGAAATTTTCAGACCGTTTCACAGCGTTTCAAACCGTTTTCAACTGGTTTAAACTTGTTTGGACCATTTCAGATCGTTTCACATTATTTTAGAACTTTTCAGACCGTTTCAGTTTGTTTCACATCTTTTCGGATCGGTTTAGACTGGTTCAGATCGTTTTGGAATGTTTCAGACCGTTTGAAACCGTTTTGGACCGGCTTAGACTTGATTGGACAATTTTGGATCGTTTCAAACTGCTTCTGATCATTTTAAATCATTTTGGAACTTTTTAGACCGTTTCACAGCGTTTCAAACCATTTGACTGGTTTAGACTTGTTTGGACCATTTCAGATCGTTTCACATTATTTTAGAACTTTTCAGACCGTTTCAGTTTGTTTCACATCTTTTCGGACCGGTTTAGACTGGTTCAGATCGTTTTGGAACGTTTCAGAGTCTCGTTAACTTTCCTCAAATAATTTTTTCTTTATAACTTCTAGTGTTTCCTTCCTCACCATCCTTCCCTCGTCTCCTCTCACAGTGGCTCATGAGCATCTGAAGGAGAGGGGTCTCTTTGGTCTTCATCCTCCGCCCCCCCCTCCTCCTCCTCCTCCAGGGGCCGGGGCAGCAGAGTACTACCATCTGATGGCGAGCCACCGGAGCCCCTACAGCGAGCTCCTGATGCAGGGGGCGGGGGCCCCGCCGGGGGCCCACCTCTCCGACTACATCTCTCCCATTGACGGTGAGTCACGGAGCCTGCAGAGTTCATCCAGGGTTCGGTTTGTAGAACAAAGACGCCATGAATCAACGTCCCTCAGAGGGAGAGAAGCAGCATGTTTACATTTCTTCTAGCTGACTACTTCACCCAGCGGGTATGGAGCAGTCCATCTCCTCAGTCCCGCCTCCAGACGCCTTCCATAAACACAGGGGACTTATGGTGACACCTCCAGCGCGGGGCCCAGCAGGTATACTCCATCTACTGATGGCGGCTTTGATCCGACGCTTCGCTCGGCTCCTTAAAAGGGCGTAGATGTCTGAGAGGGGGGGGCTGATGGTGGCAGGAGCTCCAGCTGATGAACCGCAGACCGTTTCCTCCAGGTGACCCTCAGGTCTCCAGCAAAGGCCCGTTTCCAGATGCCTTGTTGCAGCTGGTAAAGCTGTGAATGGGTTGGCCGGCAGAGGGAACACAGCCAGCCAGACTCTGTAAAGCTGTCAGAGTCCAGGCCGCTGGCGCTGCAGCCAAAACAAACCCGGGAAGGCGGGGGTTTGGGAAGTTCTCCATAAGGAGCTGCTGTAGAGATGAATGACGGGATAAAGCTCTGGGCCCTGGGAGCCGTGGAACACATTTATTTCCTTTAGATAAACCTTTTTTTTTTATCAGCTTTGGAAATCCTTCTCTTCTGTTCAGGCCTGCATCAGGTCCATCATCCCGGAACAGCTTCGTTCGTCTGATCGTCATTCCGACACAGATCAAAGAGACAAGCCTTCATTTTTAATCTAGATATTTCAGATCAAACTCGTTTTAAAATAAAACAAGACAATAGATGGAGGAAAAGGTTGGTGGTTCCCCCCATGGAGGCACCAACCTCTACCAAACATCAGGAGATCCCAGCTTTTGCCCTGCTTCGGTCACCCTAGTGTGTTTGACTATTAAAACTTTGACTAGGCCACTTCCAAACTTTTATTGTGTACCAGTTTAGACTGGTTCAGATCGTTTCGTAATGTTTTAGACCATTGCAAATCGTTTTGGACCGGTTTAGACTGCAGATCGTTTCGGAATGTTTTAGACCGTTGCAAACCGCTTTGGACCGGTTTAGACTGGTTCAGATCGTTTCGGGATGTTTTAGACCATTGCAAACCATTTCGGACCGGTTTAGACTGGTTCGGACTGTTTCAGATTGTTTCAGACCATTTCACATCATTTCGGAACGTTTCAGACCTTTTAACACCGTTTTGGAGCAGTTTAGACTGGTTCAGATCGTTTCGGGATGTTTTAGACCATTGCAAACCGTTTCGGACCGGTTTAGACTGGTTTGGACCATTTTGAGTCGTTTCAGAGTGTTTTCATGAAGTTCTGAAGTTCTCCTGACTCTGTTGGAACTTCAAACTTTCCCAGGGTTGGTCTAATGGGGGTAGGAAGAAACCGCACAGCTCCAGATCATGACACTTCCACCACCATGCTTTACCAGAGTGAAGATGTTCTAGTTTGGAGTCGTCAGCCTTACAGATGATCTAAGTCAAACCTTCCAGAACGTTCTGTCGTCTCCTCGCTCCGAGCATCGTCCAGTCTCTGATGATCCGGTTAAATCAACACCAGAACCAAATCACTGAATCCCGTCGGCCCTCCGTCCCCCACGGTGGCGGCTCGATAAATTACTGTGGAGAAAAGGAAGTGGTGGCAGGGTTTTCTATCGCATTAATAAACTCGTCTCCCCAGAGTCGGGAGGAAGTAGCAGATATAAATCCGGCTGCCAGCGCTGAGCGGCGGCGGCCGTAAAAACCAACACCTGATCTCTGGAATCGTCACTTCAGCTGCTTAAGTGAACAATTAGTGTCCCATGACGACAACCGCCCCCCCACCCCCGTAGACAGAGACGTCTACAGTAATAAGCAGAGACTCCCTGGAGGAACTAACTATGTTCTGCAGGTTGTTTACATCATCATTTAAACGCCATACGTCCCATAATGAGCCCCGCCCCCCGGGACCAGCCATGGAGGAGACCCAGAACCGAGTGGATCCTTCACCGAGACCGTGTGGAATTACAACCAGTGTCAGACCAAAAGACAGAACCACAGTCAGAACCAGAATCAGAACTAGATTCAGAACCAGAATCAGAACTAGATTCAGAACCAGAATCAGAACCAGAATCAGAACTAGAGTGAGAACCAGAATCAGAACTAGAGTCAGAACTAGAGTCAGAACCAGAACCACAGTCAGAACCAGAATCAGAACCAGAATCAGAACTAGAGTGAGAACCAGAATCAGAACTAGAGTCAGAACTAGAGTCAGAACCAGAACCACAGTCAGAACCAGAATCAGAACCACAGTCAGAACCAGAATCAGAACTAGAGTCAGAACCAGAATCAGAACCAGAATCACAACTAGAGTCAGAACTAGAGTCAGAACCAGAATCAGAACCAGAATCACAACTAGAGTC